AATTATAAATTACAAATATAGAAACATAATGTATATGTTTTTCAAAGGATAAAGGCTCACAGTAGGGGTATTTTGTCAATGTTTTTTCCTTATTGGGATGGCAGGGTTTCTCTGTCCCTTGGATTGTCATGGACCAGTGACTGCAGGTGAGCGAAGCGGTGCTAATTCAAATAAACATGCTATAGTAGAAAACTTTAGGTATAGTAAAGGGTGTTATTATAGTCTTTTATGCTGTGAGAGAAGTTCAACAATTACAGTAAAAAATTATAAATTACAAATATAGAAATATAATGTATATGTTTTTCAAAGGATAAAGGCTCACAGTAGGGTTATTTTGTCAATGTTTTTTCCTCATTGGGATGGCAGAGTTTCTCTGTCCCTTGGATTGTCATGGACCAGTGACTGCAGGTGAGCGAAGCGGTGCTAATTCAAATGTGGTTCAGTAATTCAAATGTTAAGTCAGTGTGTTCTTCTGCAAGATAAGGATTTCTGTGAGCACAACTACTTGCTGAGAGATTCCCTGTTACCAGCGTGAATATGGGAATGAACATTTCCACTGGCAGGACTTTTTGTGGCCGGGAACTGACGGTGTGTGGCAGTCTCACCCTGTGTTCTCAGCCTGTGTTCTGGGTATCTCAGGATGTTCCCCATGACCCTGTGCAGCTCATCTCAGGTTCAGGTTCGCGCTACTATTGTGCACATTTACTCTCACTTGCCTTGCTATAGTCTGTGCTCCGTGTTTGCTTTTAAACAACCTGGACTTTCTATTCTCTAAATCTCCAGATGCTGATTTGTGAGCAGTTTACTTGTAAGAGTTAAAAGTGGTCAGCTATTTAAAGGATGTCACGTGGGTTGCTGGTGGCAGTAACAGTGATGGTGCCCATCAGTGATGTTCCAAGAGAAGTTCATGGACATGTACATCTAATGTTATCATTATATGGATGAATCAGGGGAGCAGTCTGATACAGTGGCACAAGAGCCATAGTTCTCACCTCTTAACCATAGGCATCTACTCACCCAGACATGGCCTTTATTTCTCTACTTTGCATGCAAATCCTATTTGTTTTATATTTCTACAGATATTTTTTTCTAGATAATTCATAGAGTGACATTGCATAATATGCCATCCTTTTTGATTGCCTTCACTTAGTGTGTATTTGCAAGCTTACACTTTAGAATGAGTCAGAGCCTCATTTGTTTAAGGCAAAATAGCATTCAAAGGAATGGATTCAACACATTTTGTTTATCCATTCATTAGTTAATGTATATTTGGGTTAAGCTTACCTTTTGGTATTTATGCATAATAATCTCATAGACGTTCACATACAATGTACACCAAATTTTATTATCTGGACATGTGTCTTAGTTAGCTTTCTCTTGCTGTGATAAAACACTGACCAAAACCAACTTCGGGAGGAAAGGGTTTATTTAATATTGATCTTACAGTTCATGGAGGGAAGACAGGGCAGGAACTCAAGGAATAAAGTGAAGTACAGACCATGGAAGAGTGTTGCTTACTGGCTTACTCTTCTAGCTTGTGCTCAACCTGCTTTCGTATATAGCACAGGACCACCTGCCCAGGGGTGGCACTACCCATAAAGAACTGGGCCTACCCACATCAACAAAGATATTGTTCCACAAATATGGCTAGAGACCAATCCATTTGAAAAAAGTCCTCAATTGATGTTCCCTCGCCCCATGTGTTAGTTGGCAAGTGAATCTTTCCAGTACATGTATTTTGAAATTTTTCAGTATATATTTAGAGATAGAATTGCCGGCATGCCTTATAACTCTTTTTAATTGCTGAACTATAATAGCAGACTTTTTCATAAAGTGGCTTCACCACTGTATGTTCTCATGAGCAATGTGTGGAGAAGTCAGAGTTTCTACATTGTCATAAATATATGTTACAATATACCCTTCCCAAGGGATTGTGGTAGAATTTTTATAACAAAACAAATGAGTAACCTATGAGCTTCATAGTGATAGATTAATATTCTGTGAGAAAAAGTAATCTCTAATTAACCACGGGGCTCAGTCTGCCACAGTCTACAGAAATGGAGCCAATACTGATAATACTGCCCACTGTGGTTGTTGCCACCCTTGGCAGGTGGCCCTGTGTTTAAGGAAGCAGATTGAGCGTGGGCCACGGGAGCAAACCAGTAAGAAGAGATCCTCCATGGACTGTGCTCCAGATCCCTGCCTGAAGTTCCGGCTTCCCTTGGTGATGGTCTGTGAGCTCTAAGCCAAATAATCCCTTTCTTCCCCAAGTTGGTTTTGATCAGTGTTTTTAGCTCAGCAGCAGAAAGAAACAAACATAGAAATATACTCAAAAGTCAGAAAACTGAATCACATGTAAAACTGAATTTCAGGTTTGAATAATATTTATTTTCTTTACCACAATGGCAATACCAACTCATTTCCTATATGATATTAGTGGGGAAAAGAACAGAAAATTTATCATTAGATTTGATAGTGTACGCAGTATGCAAGAATGAAAACACCACAGCCTGCATTAGTGTGTGAACTAGGACTTTTCATTAAAGAATTCTATACATTTCCTGAAAGCTTATAAAGAAAGCTATTAGTGTAGCTGAGAGCACTTTACAGCCATATTTCTGCTATTTTCTTCAAATACTGACTAGATTCACTACTGCTCTTCATCTTAAACATGAAGATGGATTTAAAATATATAATACAGAAAAAAGTTTATATGAAATAACTCTACATTAGTGGGTAATACTCCCGCCAAAAGTTAAAGGTTATTAAACAAAAATACCAGTGCCAGTTGTTGGACACCTCCCTAAGAGTTGTTGGTTAGTGATACAGCACACACCATTGCTCATCTAGGTGTTCTACCAGAACTATATGGAAAGACCCTGCTGCTGAAGAAACCATATATTTTGGTTGCAGGACATATAGAAATCAATCTTGAGCTGAGGTGGAAGTTTCCATCATGCTGGCTAACTTTCATAGTGCCAGAATAATCCAAATAAGGTGCATAGAGAGAAAAGTTATCCATAGTTTTCCCCATCTGTGAACACTACAAGGCCAGATGTGACAACTTGTTCAATAGTAGCATGAGTGTTATTGGTATAATCAATCATTTTCTGATTCTATTTTAGGCTCATTTCACAGTGGAAATTCCAGACTGGCTGTAAACCTGAGCCCTAGAGGGGAACCTACTACTTTTGTTTTGCTAATGGATATGGTGTCAAACTGCATTATAAATGTCTGTGTTTATACCTGTAGATAAGTATTGCTCCTAGCCTTAGATAGAGGAACTTCTCATTGCGGTAGGTGGTTATTAATGCAGGGACCCATAATGGATCTAAGTGACGAAAATAAGTGGCTGCTGTGTTCTTAGACCTAAGTTGGATCACCGTATCACTCCCTTCAAGACTCAAGAAACATCACTAAACGGGGAGAGGGGAAAGTAAGACCGTGGGGCAAGGAAAGGGTGCTGTGAAACATCTCCTGGATATGACAGGAGCATTGCATTCATGAACTCACAGTAACTACCTTTACTCTGCATAAGACCATATTCCATCATGGATGAGTGAGGACTCAGAGGCAGCTATTTGCAGTTAATGGTTGCTGGTGAAGGGAGAGTCATTCTCATCAGTGGAATAGCCTCTTGTAAGTTTTCCATGTTCCAGTAAATAACCTCCTACCCATGCTCACATGAGCAACATTAGTTAAATTCAGAGAGTCATGAGCAAAAATCTAAAATAAAATAAAATAATGAAAAAGTCATGGAAATGGGAGGAGACCTTTCTGGGAAAAAGAAATGGTTCAGTGGGAGACAGACAGATTAGAGTGGATGATGGGGTGAATGAAAATCACCAAAATGATATGTTCATGAATGGAATTGTCAAAGAATAATGAATTAAAAGATATGAATCTATATTCAGTCCTGCCTATTTTGTTCTTTAGTAACCTGCATCTAGATCATGAGACAATATAAATAATATTCAATAGTATATACATGAGGGTTGATAGTGAGCCAGATGGGTAAATAAGGCACGATAATGAGACATTAAACTGGTGTATGAATGACTTGTACCCTTGGAAGAATCATCAAATCTATCCTGCTTCTTGATTTCTCCATTCATTGCAATTCAGCTCTTTATCTATTCTTCAGAAGTATGGAGAGAAGCCATGATTATACTAGTGCTTTAAGTTTTATGAAGGTGGCTTTTGTAAGCAGATGGAATTTACAAAAATTTTGAGAAAAAAAATGAATGTGCCTTTTGAATGTGCCTTTATAAAATATATTGACCTACAAAACATGTTAGTGATTTTAAAATCAAGACAACGCTTGTCTTACACAATAACTATGATGTTTTCATTGTCATCTATTTTTAGAAGACATTTTGAAGAATTAAAATACTTGTTAATATTAATTACCAACTTATGTATTCATAGAGTTTTTTAGATATTTTTACTCATTGGAAGATTTTATGCAATGTGTTTTGATCACATTCAGATCTTTCCCTCATTTCCACCCCTACATTACTACCCCCAGCTTCATGCACTCTATTATTATTTTTCTTGAGTCTAATCTGTGTTTCCTGAACGTTCTTAGCAGTCACTCTCTTTAGAAGCAATTAACTGTCTATTGCTCCATCGTTAGGGGTAGGGGTACATGAACGCCTTCCCACTCTATTCTAGAAAGTTGAGTTGCTTGATCTTTTGCAGGTCTTGTGTCAACAATCATAGTTGCTGTGAGTTAATGAGTGTAATAATTCTGCTGTGTCCAGAAGACATGGTTTTAAACTGGTCTCCCTCAACCTCTGACTCTTAGAATCTTTCCACCCCTTCTTCCCTGAGCCTTGGCATATAGATGTGTCATTTGTGGCTGAGCACTTCATAGACACTTATTTTCTGTACTTTGCCCAGTTGTGAGGTTCTGCATTAACTACCATCTAATCTGCAAAGAGCCCACGATTGGAGAGTGCACAGGACCTAGGGGTAAACCTACTAATATTGCTATGCTAAATGAACACAGTGTCAAACTACCTTCTGAATTCACATCTCCATGCCTATAGATTAATGAAAGTTCTTAAAACTCATCAGAGAAGAAACACCTTCTGGGATTATGAGAGTTAGCTAGCAGGGTGGAGGCTTCCTGGTCAGGATTGGCCCAATTTCTCTGTATTCTGTAACCAATATGTGTGGTCTCTTCGTCAATAGCATCATATGATCAAATTCTGGTGAGTTGCCAATAGCCATGGCAATGACCTGTATTGTTTGGTGGGTCCATGGGTATACCTCTGACTAAGAACTGTAGGGGAGGGATATTTGGAAAAGCCATAGAGGTTCTTTTATGATAAACAGTGTATTAATATAATTAAATATAATAAAATTATTGTAGTTTATTGAAAATT